ATTTAAAACAGCTTGTTCTTGATTGCCTGCCTTGTTGGCATGAGCAGTTTACAGTTTACTGAATGAAAGTGCTTATAAATTGATGATTTAATCTTTCATTCGAACAGCTTTCTGACCTTTGAAGTTAAGCCTGCTAGCTGAAAAATCACCGCACTGCCAGCACGTTAGGCATTGGGGATGGTGCTAGAGATTCCTCAGGGATGGTTCCTTAGTTACTTCAGGGAGTTTCTTAAGGATTAAAATGCTGGCTGCTTGAGAATACGTGAACTTCATCCTATTCTTCCCCTCCTACGACCTATGTTCTTCATGCTCTTTTTAAGACCAACACTGAGTCTCAATTAAGCAAAAGGTGAAGATGACATGACATGCTCAGTGTCTGCAGTCTGCTGTCTGCTGAAAATAAAATCTCTTGCCAGTATTAGTCCCTGGTTCTATGTAAACAAAGAAGATGGATTCTCAAAACAAACATGTGGTATCTGAGATGCCTGGAAATGTAGCAGCAGACCACAGCCACGGAGTGCAGTGGTTGCATTTGGGGGTACATGCAACATTGAGTTAAAACAGAAAGGGGCTCGGGATCTTTCAGGAAAGGTCCAGCTGTGGAAGCCCACATGATTCTGCCTCTGAAGGCTAATAAATAGCTTTGACCCAGTAAAATGGTTTTGTATCAGTCTACAACTTCTCTCAGCTTTGTAAGACTTCCTCACCAGTTCACATTCAGCAACTATAACTGAATACTCTGAGCTGCTGCAAACTTGTTCTGAGGATTCAAATATTAACCCAGCAAGAAAAAAAAAAAATCTTTTTCAATTTTTTTTTTTTTCATTTTCTTTCAGGCAGGGCTGAATGTGTGTGACAAAGTTATTTCTGAATGTCTGTTATTGTATTATTTCTAGGTAAATTTCCATTTTCTTTCTCCAAATGCTTTGGAGTAAAGCAATTGGTGCTCAAATACTAAATTATCTATTTAGTTTTTGCCATCTCCTTGAGACTTCCGCAAAGTAGATCATCAGCACTCATTGCTGCTGCCTTTAGGAGAGCTACACTTAATCTAGCAGTAACAGAAATATGTTAGTCCAGAGAGCCTTAGAGAAAAGGACAGAGAATGCACAGGTAAATCAGTGTACAGAAAAGGAGAATGTAAAGAAAGTTAGAGGAGCTTAGCATGGAGAACTACAGTGAAAGTAATAAATATATTCACCAGCAGCAAGAGAGGATGCTAGCCACATTTGCTTGCATTCACAGAACTGCTGCAGAACTGGGCAAGTGCTGAGTCTTTGGCTATATGGCTTATAGAAGCCGCCTACGCTGGATCTGATGGGCAGTGTTTTTTGCAGAGGGTCTTCAGCAATGGAAGGTATAGAGTCTCTGAATTGGAATCTCTTTTTGTTCCTCTATCTCGCTGCTCCTTTTTATTCCCATTCCCTCCTCCTTCCTGGTTTAAAGCTGTCCGTAGGGCAAACCCATATAAAATTCCTGTATCCAGAGCATCCTCCAGCAAGTTATGCCAGGGGTCTACTACCAGTGGTGATGTAGCACCTCCTTTTGCATGTTCTGAACTTGGACTTTGTTAATTTGATGACATCCAATTTTTGTATTTGGAAGAGACAGTGAAGAGTTAGTCCCTATCAACTCTTTCCCATAATCAGTACCAAATGGTAATGGTGGCTTGCTGGGAATTTATGCCAGTCTTCATTTAGTCTTCTGCTGCCTCATGTCCTTTTTGCTTCCAAATAGTGACTGTATTTACCTAGTTACCTTGATAAACTAACTAGAGGGATTTCAGCCTGCTTGTGTTGTTTTCAGCAGCCCAGAGTTGTAAGGAATGTAGGAGTGTGGACACTAGCCAGCAGCAAGAATATTAGCAAGTCTAGGTGGTCTTCAAACATCCTTGTGGCAAAAGGAGAAATACTCCTTCCCATTAACATAAGACTTGGAGAAACTAGGTAGGAAACACATGTGCCTGCTCATGATCTACCTACCTGGGAAACCAATGTGAGTAAAAGAGTGTGTGACCTTTATGATTGTAACACCTTTGCATAACACAGAAACCTTTTAAAGAGAGATTATTGCCTCCTGGACACCCTCCTGACTTTTGATTCTCTTCTCCCAGTGGTCTGAAAATGAGATGCAGAGAGATTACTGCCTTCCAGTAACAAGATCAAAGCTTTTTATGCTGCAGTTTCACACTGCTAAAATCATGGAATTATAGAGCAGTTTGGATTAGAAGGGACCTTCAAAGGTCGTCTTGTCCAGCCCTCCTGCCACGAACAGGTACATCTTCAACTAGATCAGGTTGCTCAGAACCACGTCCAACCTGGCCTTTAATGTCTCCAGGGATGGTGCATCCACCACCTCTCTGGGCAACCTGTGCCAGTGTTTTACCACCTTCACTGTAAAGAATTTCTTCCTCACGTCCAGCTTGAATCTCCCCTCTTTTACTTTAGAACATTATGAACAGTTCTTCCTTAGTGGGGTGTTCCTGTCCCTTCCTCTCTTCTTTGTTCAGTGCTAACCCTTGTTTTGATCCCACTACAAGCTGTTTTCCAGGGCGTTAAAATAGTAGAAACCTGCTTCCTGCTTTTTCCAGGGCTAGTTTTTGCAGGTTTAGCATTGTGAACCAGCTCACTGCAGTCAGAAGAGTCCCAGTGTTGACAGAACAGGACTGCCTGTTCCCATGGCACGCGTTAGAGCACTGTAACACATTATGAAATTAGCAATGTTAAATGTTAACACGTGAATGTATTTTCCTCAGCAGGTAAAGGTTACGATCCACAGGGGTAATCACAAGTGTTATCTTTCATTGCTTAGAGTCCTCCCTCTACTGCATATTCTCCCACGTGTGCATCATCGTTTCCAAATTGAAGCTCTCATCTTTGTGATCCAATAGAAAAGCAGGCAGTTTGCTCTTGCGAAACCTTTAGCTACACTGTAGCCCTTCTCATCGCATTCTGCACACAGCAGAAATAACTCTCCCTTTCTGAACTGCGTATGCTGTTCCAGTTTGAGGAGTGCGTGTGGGGGCAGACGTATAAAGCTATGAAGTCGGTGGTATCGTGTGTGGTATTTTTCCAGGGAAAATGGAAAAGTCAGTGACTAAGCATGAAAAAGAGAAAATCATCCCCACAGAGCTGAGTAATAACAGACACTGGAAGCAACAAAAATGGCATTTCATAGTCCTCAAGGGGAACAGATTAGGACTTGAGGCAGCATGGGGCTCTGGGAGACAAGTCAGGAAAATGCTGCCAAAAGGGTCATACTGTCCTCAGGTCATCCTAAGGCATCTATAATTGCCAGCTTTGTGTAAAGCCAAAGCAGTGCACAAATCTGGCAATGACAGTCACAGAGCCGTAACCTCCATCTGCATTAGAAAAACACTGGGAGTATCTTCAACTTCCAGCTGTCCTCTGCATTTCGAATGCCCCTCGGGATAATCTTTTGCCTTTACTGCCAAGCTGTGATAAATTCTGCAGTTACTTTAAACAGAAACAAAGCTCAGCTCTCTACCTGGTCATTACACACTTGGTTCCAAATGAGGATGCAAATAGATAAAGTGCTCCTTGTCTATTTTTCTTCTGTCATTCTTTGTTCATCATGGTCAAGAGAGACATGCCTGTTCCTGCAAGACCTTGCCGACTCCTGTGCCCGCCTGGCGCACAAGCGCATCACATTTTTTAGACCCTTACGTGCTATATGAATGAAAGAGCCTGGCGGTTGTGTTTAACCCGTCACGTCAGTGCTAAGCCACACTGAAAATCAGGTTGGGTTTGTATTTTTGCTGCCTTCTCAAAATGGTTTCCAGATGACAGCCTTCCAGTACCTAAACAGGGCCTACAAGAAAGCTGGAGAGGGACCTTCTTTTTGTAAGGGCATAGTGACAGGACAAGAGGGAATGGCTTTATGCTGAAAGATCCAAAGTTCTTTATTGCGGTGAGGTGCTGGCATAGGATGCCCACAACGGCTGTGGCTGCCCCATCCCTGGCAGTGTTCAAGGCCAGGTTGGACAGGGCTTTGAGCAATCCGATCCACTGGAAGGTGTCCCTGCCCGTGGCAGGTGGGACGGAACTAGATGATCCTTACGATACTTTCCAACCCAAACCATTCTGTCAGCGTATGAAGTGACACGCTGTGCTTTTCACACTCCAGACCAGCATTAATGCCACTGTGGGCTGTCCTCCCACAGAAGCAGCTTCAGCGTACCACCACCGGTTACCTCACCCAGGCCGGCTGGGCTGAAAGCGAGACCACCACGAGCAGGAGCAGCAGCCGGCCTCGGTACGGCCGGGCTGCACGGACACCACTACCCACCTGCCCCACGGCCGGTACCTCCTCCCTGACCTGGATTCCCGGGGGAAGGGGCGTGGTCGCCGCCTCCGCCAATTGCCAAGCTGCGCCAGAGTCACGTGGGGCGGCGGTGACGCGCAGGGCCGCGTCCATTTTGCGTCGCAGCTGCGGGGCGGTGCGACAGTGAAGCACTGTAGGTCGGGGAGGAAGGACGGAGCTACCCGCCGGCCGAGTGCTGACCGCCCGCGTCTGTCCGGCGCGGCTCACACCCAGACCCTCAGCCCAGGTTCGTGACAGCGCGGGAGGGCTCCCCTCGCAGCGCTGCTGCGTCGGGGAGCAGGGTCGGTGGCGCAGGGAGTTCCGGCGGTGCGGCCGGTGTTCCTGTCGCTGTGTTTCACTGTGGTGCTCTTCGCGGAGCAGGCCCCGTGGCGCCGCCGTTGGGTGCGGCCCAGGCCGCCATTTTGCGGCGGAGCAATGGCGGTCCCTTGTTTTCTCTTGCCGCGGGGGTGGGAGGGCAGCGCGCGTGCGCGGGCAGGGGGCTGCGACCGCAGTGGGCGTCGGTTTGTTGTGGGCGGGGCTACTTGCCTGACTTCGGGCTCCAGTTGGCGCAGGATGAGGCGGGGGCCACTTGGCTGCTTCCTATTGGCCTGGAGTGGGGGCGAGCTGCGGGCTCAGAGGGGCGGGGCCGGGGGGGGTGGGGGTTGGCTGCTGAGTCACCGGGCAGGGCCGGGGCGCTGACGGACCGGGCGCCGTGTCTCCCGTAGCGACCTCCGCCGCACACAGCTATGAGCGGCTGCCGTGTCTTCATCGGGAGGCTGAACCCGGCTGCCAGGGAGAAGGACGTGGAGAGGTTCTTCAAGGGATACGGCCGCATCCGGGACATCGATCTGAAGAGGGGGTTTGGGTTTGTGGTGAGTGCGCTTCTCTGCGGGGCTCGGCCGTCCCCGTCCTTTGGTCGGCGCTCGGATCTCATGCACGTGTGATGTGCACAGATAATGCCGTTAACGTGCTCAACTAAGTATGCTGTGTGGCAAATAAGCATTTGTTAATTTCTTGGAGATGTAGGTTTTTTACTTTCGTGGTTTTGCTGTGGTGGTTTTGCAGGAATTTGAGGATCCAAGGGATGCAGATGATGCTGTCTATGAACTGGATGGAAAAGAGCTTTGTAGTGAGAGGTGAGGTACCCAATTTCTTGGATATATAAGCTTAAGTATCTAAAATAAGAAGTACATCAATTTTAACTTGCAGTGTGTTATCGATACGATTTAGTGTAATTTTTTGTTTTGTGGCTTTTTTTTTTTCCCAATGACTGTTACTAAAGGAATGCGTAAGAAGAAAAAATGTAAAAAAAAATGGTTTTCTGTCTCTTTTTTTTTTCCTCAGGGTTACAATTGAGCATGCAAGAGCACGCTCTAGGGGTAGAGGCAGAGGGAGGTACTCTGACCGTTTTAGTAGCCGCCGTCCACGCAGTGACAGGAGGTATGTATGGCTTTGAACTGGCATAGCTTAAAAGAGCATACTGTGGGCTCATCTGAGAGTTCATCCAAGAATTTGAGCTAGAATGAGATATGAAAAGGTATTTGCCTTTTTAGTCAGTCTTTTTACAAAACTTCTCAGATACGCTTGTCATCTGTATGCTCCCTCCCCAGAGTATTTAATGCTTGTTTTAGATTACTTGGGGCACTCATAGTTGAGTTGTAGTAATGGTGATATGCTGATGCTGGTCATTGTAATTACTAATAAAAACCTCAATTGTTTATTTCCAAACAGAAATGCTCCACCTGTAAGAACAGAAAATCGTCTCATAGTAGAAAATCTGTCATCCCGAGTCAGCTGGCAGGTTTGTTGAAACACGATTAACTATTTTGACTTCATTTGATGGGTATGTAATGTAATAATTTTGTAAAATAGTTAATTAAAATTAAATCTAATGGATTCAAAACATTTATGTAATTAATGTAATTTTAATTAATTCAATTTACATATTTTGAATTTTAACTAGTTAATTTTAATTTTTAATAATAAATGTGTATGTTTGAGGATATATATTTATTTTTTCTTGTTTATTTAAATCCATTTTAACCACATATTAAACCCTTTATTTGCCAGCCTATCTGTGTCGTTGGCCTTATGACGAGGAGTGCCTGTGGGTTATCCTAATCGTTCTGTCTTGGTCACTCTTGGTTGGGCCTGGTTGACTTTCCAGTCAGCTCCTACAATGTCACATGGCCACCTCTAGATCTGTGTTTGCCGGTCTAGACGTAATCGATGCACTCCTTAAAGTGCCACATTGCAGCGATCCCAGAGCGTTTACGAGATCTGATTCCTAAGTTGAGAGCTGTTCTTCCTGTAACGCTTCCGAATAAAGAGGTCCTGGTCGAAAAGAGTTGAAAGATACGAAATTAGGTGGTCGTTGGAATCCTGATCGCAGTAAAGTGGTCCTTGGTAACATCAAGCATAGCGAATGTCTGGATCCATCAATAGTCTCCTAATAAGGGAGCGCAGTGCGATTAATGGCTTCCATCGACTGGGTAGTGTTCGTCAAGTGGGTGGCGAAGAGCCAGTCGGGCATAAATCATGACGGTATCTCCGGTCGCTTAATGCAGTTTGCTGCTTGGCTAGCCTAGGGAATTGTTAATAAAGGTAAAGTAAACTATATTTTTAATGACATATGGGGCACAAAATAGTTGGTGTTGCATAAATGTAATTCTGTATGCCTGTAAGACTTGTAATGTAAATGGAGGCTGAAATAATTCAAAAATATATGGGTATTTCACACTCAGTCCATTATATATACAAGTGTACTTGATTTCTCTCTCTCTTTCTCTCTTTCTCTCTTTCTTATTTAATCTGTATAGTCTCTGTAGACTAATGTTTTCCTTAATGTTAAGACCGTTTATTAGCATTTTGCTTAAAGCAATATGCTGTTTTCATTTATTTCGTGCCCTGATTGAGATAATTCAATTTTGGTAGAATACAAGTATGGCAGTTGCCATGTTTGTAATTTATCTAACATCTTCTCTTCCAGTAGTCATAAGTTTCTTTTGGGTTTATCTGGTTTTGTATAGATAAGTGTTAATGTCACTTCTTTGCGTAACATAACTGGTCTTGTGTTAGGATCTCAAAGACTTCATGAGACAAGCTGGGGAAGTAACCTTTGCAGATGCACACAGACCTAAGTTAAATGAAGGGTAAGCCTCTAACAACACCTCTTGGAAGCTGTAGAGTACTGTTTGTATCATACCTGGGGAGGGAAGCTGGCTACTTTCAGTGCTTAGCAGCTGTTCTTGGCTTAATTTAGCTACCCTTTGAAAATACATTCTCTTGTATTTTGGGAGGGGAATCCCTCATTTCCTGTTTGAGTTATAACAATGAATGAGTACACTGGGCAGTGAGGGATTTTTTGAGTTGTTGAGCTGTTTATTTTTCTCAGAGTATGTTTTGCTCTGCCACCAAAGTTACCACTTGTAATAGTGAGATCGATGCTTTATTTTGGCTTGATTTAATTTTTTTTTATTTTCCCTGTAGGGTGGTTGAATTTGCCTCTTACAGTGATTTAAAGAATGCTATTGAAAAGCTTTCTGGTAAAGAAATTAATGGAAGGAAAATCAAACTAATTGAAGGCAGCAAAAGGCACAGGTACAGATTTCTGTTCTCTTAAATAACGCTTAAGTGTTAACCAAGAAAGCTTCGAAGCCAGTGACCAGGCAACTGAACGGGAGACCAGTGATTTGCCTGGTTATGGTAGTGGTCTGTGATGTTTCATTGCTAATACCAACGCTCTTCTGTTTCCTCAGTAGGTCCAGAAGCAGGTCACGGTCTCGTAGCAGAAGCTCATCCAGGTCTCGGAGTCGTTCCCGCTCCCGCAGCCGCAAATCCTACAGCAGGTCAAGGAGTAGGAGCCGTAGCAAGTCTCGATCAGTTAGCAGATCTCCAGTGCCAGAGAAAAGCCAGAAACGTGGTTCTTCCAGTAGATCTAAATCCCCGTCATCTGAGGATCGGCAGAGGTCTAGATCAAGATCCAGATCTGTTGACAGTGGCAACTGAGCTTATAGTTCAGTTATGGGGGCCCTTTTTTTAAACCATACTTGCTAAAAGTTGTGGTAAGTATGTGACTTTCTGCGGGGAAGGGTTTGGATGGGGAGGGGGGAGGAGTGGGAAAACTTTGTAGATGTGGACCATGGTGGGAAGGGTTATTGACTAATTGTATTAAATGTCTTTTGATAACCCTTTTCTTGCTCACATTTTTTGTGAATGTCTGAAGTGTATAGTTTGTGTATATTGGCAGAGCTCTTTATAACTAAAGCGAACAACTTAAACTTTTTTGTACTCCAAAAAAAAAAAGTCATCTGAACACTTAATTCCCAGTGTATTCAACTGTGAAGAGCAACTCGGAACATTAGTTTAATATTTCATAGAATCATAGAATAGTTAGGGTTGGAAAGAACCTTAAGATCATCTAGTTCCAACCCCCCTGCCATGCGCAGGGACACCTCCCACTAAACCATGTCACCCAGTTTCAAATTAGACTAATAGCTTTAGGCATCTAAGAGCTCTACATGTGCTGTACATAAAGCTTTATTTCAGAGAGTATTTTTTTGTGCTTTTGGACCATTGTTTCAGCTATAGATCAGCAGATTGAACGCTGGTCAGTACTGGTAATAAAGTTTTATTTTAAAAGCTTTTCATTTAATATGACTTGCACTACACTTAAGAAAATGCCCATTTCACTTACCTATGGTAATAATATTCTATAAAGCACCCTAATTCTTGATACTTAAGAATTAAATAGCTCAAATAAAATATAAAGAAACATGCCTCTGCTTCTAGTGTGTTCTTAAGTGTTAATATATTAAGTGTTTGAGATGGTGCCTTGTGTGTTAAAATACTTCTCAAAGTTGGGTCTGCAGCAAAGTGATGTATGGGGAGGAGCTAACTTACTTTACATTGTGCCATGTACTTAGATGTGTCTATACTGAAATAAGAACCTTGGGAATAAGGAGAATCCTACTGTCATAGTAGTAAAAAACGGAACGGACAAGTCATTGAGGTTTTAATGACTATGGATAATAGGCATGGAATGTTAAAGACCGGTGTAGTCGGCATACTTCATTGGTGTGTTTGTGCACATGTGTATCGGGGACTAGTGAGGTGTGGGTAAAGCATTTTCATAGGTGTTAGTCCTTGTTCTGGAGGAGGAGGAGGGACTTTGGAGTTGGTGGGTGGGAGCCCTGCAGCAGTGGTACCCTGGAGATCTGTGTATTAGTGTTTGTGCCTTGCAGGGGCAGTAACTGCAGTCCCTGTGCTTCTCAAGCCCGCACACAAGCTACAAGAAAGAGCTTTAGAATTTCATTTTAAAAAATTGCAAAACTACTGTAGTAATCCATGGAAAGCTTTAAAAATGTCTTTGGAGCCTAGGCTGGGCTTTGAATTAGGGTCCTAGGAAATGCAGGGTGGTTCCCCTCAGGGAGGTGAGTTGCTTGGTGTCTGTTGCAGAGGTCTCATGCTTCAGGCTGGTGAGAGAGTAGCCTTGTGTTTCGTGAATCTGTCTGTCAAGGCAGCGCAGTGGGGAAGGGTTTGGACTGATAGATGGTTAATTGGATTGTTAGTAGGCAGCTTTGGAGAGTGGGAGGCTTCACTCTCAGTAGTATCCTGGTTTGGCTGCTGGATCACCTGAGGAGGTGTAGTAGAAGAGGGGTGTAGCCCCTAGGGGCAGAGGCAGCATTGAAGCTTATCTGGTGGGTATGAGGGTGTTGTGGTTTAAAACCAGTCAGGCAGCTCGTTCACTCATTCCCCCTCTTCTTTTCCTCCCCTTACTCCTGGAGGGATGGAGAGGAGAATCAAAAAGAATGCAACTCCCATGGTTGCATTCTTGCATGGTGGTCCCACGCTACCACCAGTAATAACAATGATAAAGGAAATAACAAGGGAAGAGAATACAACATCTCAGCACCAGCTGACCGATAACTCGCCCCCCAAGCCTGACCAAGCACCGACCGATACCTCCTCCAACCCCGCAGTGCCCCAGCCCTTCTGGATAACTCTCAGTTACCTCCTGGGCATGACGTGCTGTGGTATGGAATACCTCTTTGGTCAGTTTGGGTCAGGTGTCCTGTCTCTGCTTCCTCCTGGCTTCCCCTCCTCCCTGGCAGAGCATGAGGCTCACAAAGTCCTTGGCCAAACCAAAACATCATTGTTATCAGCTCTGTTCCCAGGCCGAAAGTCAAAACACAGCACTGCACGAGCTACTAAGAAGGAGAAAAATGACTGCTACTGCTGAACCCAGGACAGAGGGGTAAGGTTAGCTGTGTCATCTCAAAGTCAGTGGATCTTTCCTGCTGACTTGAATGATCATATGTGTCATGGGACTTGGCTCCAAATGGAACCCTGGGGGCTGAAGGCACCTGGTGATTGGAGTGGGGTGGGATTTCAGACACTTGCCTCCCTCAGGCTAAATATGAAGTGCTACCTGCTCTATGAATATTCTGAATTCCATTTTGACCACACTGCTTGTCTTGTAAGCAACATGAACAGATGTGTCTGCATTTCATTTGGGGAGCTTGCTGTTTAAAAACTTCAGTTTAAAACATGTTAACTTTTGGCCCGAAATCTATTCTGCATTTACTAAGAATAAACAAGCCTGTTTATTCTTAGTCAAGATGGATTACACCAGGTTACAGTGCATATTTCATAGATTCATAGAGTGGTTTGGGTTGAAAAGGACCTTAAAGATCCTCTAGTTCTAACCCTTGTTGCTTCATACCCGTTGAACCTGGCCTTGAACACTGCCAGGGATGGGGCATCCAGAGCTTCTCTGGACAGCCTGTTCTGGTGCCTCAGTTTCATACCTGCAACACTGCAAGTGTTAATGCAAGTCTTCCCTCGTATTTGCTGAGTGACGTTAGCTAGATGGTGTCCTGAACAGCTGGTGTGCTTAGTTCTATGGACCAAGGCACATTCAGTGTTCATCAGGGCTTGCTGGATCCAAACTCAATGTGCCAAGACGGTTTGCATTGCTCTGTTCAGTTTTTGTGGCTTCTGCTGTGGCACACTGTGCCCTGCTCAGGTTTTGGAAATTGAGAGTGACCAGCAGTCCACAGGCTGCTCAGCTGCATACTGGGTCTTGGCTGTTCACCAAGAGACTTTCACCCCTCATTTTGGGGCTTCGTTACAGAAATTCCATCAATCTTCAGCAATGCCTTCAGGAGCTGCTTCAGACATGTGCCATAAAAAAGGGAACTAACGTGGGCAGCGATTTTCGTATGGACAAAATTGGGCAGTCACTTGGGAGCGCGGCCCGAAGCTCTCCCGAAGGGTTGTTATGATGACTTGGAAGTCTCCCTCATAGGCAGGCAGAGAGAGGCTTAGGCTGGAGCCAGACCTCTGGGAAATAACAGTGAGGGTGCAGACAGCTCTGTGGCAATCCCTTTGTCGGGCATAAAACGAGCATATAGATAAAACATCTTACACAGAACTGCTGGAGACCTGTAAGCTGGCTGCAGGAGGTGGAGCTTGGAGGGGTTGTGATAGCAGCTGCTGCAGAGTCCATCTGTATTGTTTTCCTGTTTTCCCACTGTTTTTGCAGGGTCTTAACACTGGTTTAATTTTTTGAGCACCAGCTGCATCCATACCAGCACAGAGCAGGTTTGCTGCACCTGAAGAAAAAAATGTCATTGAGAATAGGCAGTTCTGAAGCCAGTTACGGAAAGATTGTGACAGCTGCAGTTGGTGTTGCTGCGTGATCTAAAGCAGAATGAGGACCTTGGAAGTCCTGCCAAAACACTTAAGCCATCTTGTTTCAGTCCTTTGTATCTCAGAGCCTGGAGAGCCACCCTTTTATAGCAGTCTTGCAAGCACCTGTATGGTGGTTTCCAATACCAGCTGCTTTGCACTGAAGGCATACCTGAGGATCCAAACTGAGTGGATTGGTTTTTCTTCCCCATTGAAAGTCATCCTTCAGCATGAAGCTGAATAGCAGGTAAAATGCTCTTGTAGAAGCTGCTCAGCTGTCCCGAGGGACTAGAGAAAACTGGTTTGGAAGCATCAGAAGTCTGACTTGTGGAAAACTTCATGCAGCAGTGCGTTCTCCAGTCTTCACTGACGCTCAGCTGGGCTTTGGCATTGTGGACCTGCTGAAGTTGGGGAAGTCTACCTCACATCTGTACCAATGCCGTATTTTAATTAAGCTGGACTTTATTTATGTACTTTGCTGGCAAAAGATCCAAATATTTCCTTCCTTCAGCTGCAGTACTCGGCCATTATGTCCTCTTCTTCCTCCTCCTACTCCAAAAGTGACACTGTTCAGTGAATCTCTCAAATCCCAGCTTTGCTGCAAGCTGTTGTGGCATTAAAAAGTATCTAATGTTCTTGTGTAGTTTTATTCCATATAAACACCCTAGTTCTTTGCATGTGCTCAGTGAAAGTCATAGCTTTAGCAGGATGTCCATCCTAGTTTAAGCACAGGCCTCAGAAAGTCTCTAAGCGCTGGTAGTATACAGCTATATGAAACATTCTGATGTTGCAAGAAATCGTAATTTCTAATGTCTTCAGTTACCTCTGAATTTTTGACTGATTTGTATTTGATGTATTGAGTAGGTAACCCTGAGTTTAAAAGGTGACTGGATTCGGCCTCTAAAAGGCAGTGACTCGTTGGTAGTTAAATTTTAAATGTATATAATTTGGACTGGAAAGCGTACCAAATACAGGAGCAAAGCTGTACTTGCCACTTGATCTCTTTATTCTGTCACAGGTCCTAAAGACCAGGATAAGCAGAAGTCCCTCTCCAAGCTGGAACAGCGAGTACTGGGAAGAAATACAGGGGGCCAATGATTTCTGGGGCAAAGGAAACCTTGAGGATAGTAGAGCAAAGCTGAGTGTTTTGGAAGCCAGTTTCCATGCACACTGTCCACCTGCATCTGAGGCAGGAAAAGTTGAGCAGGTTACAGATTTGACCCACTTACAAACAACTTCAAATAAACCCTGCCCACCTTGCTGCTGCAATGCTTTGTGCATTTGTCCCTGCTGAAAGCTGCTTTATCAGGAGCAATGCTGGGATCCCTAGAAGGGATTGCCTCATGATCCCATTGCAATGGGCAGAGACAGATCACATTATAAATGTGAACTTTGTGCTTAATGGTGTTTGGAGGCCTTAGGTCCTGCTCTGGGCTCTGCAACTTCCTGTTGGAAAGTAATCTCCTTCCCAGGTGAAAAGAGAAGTCTAAGGTGTGAAGGTAGAAATTAGTGAGGACTAGGGGGCTTCCTACCTGAATTAGGAGGATAAGAAAGGGAAGGAGTGGGTTTTATATGCAGGGTTTCCATCCTGAATTCCCGGGGCTGCAGCAGAAACCACTGACAGGCTTGGGGTAGTTACCAGCTTAAGAGCAGTTGTGTTTAAGAAAACTTGAGGTTTTGTCTCTGTTGGTATTTCCCAATTAGTTGATTTTCTGTGTGGTGCTATTAATTCTCATATTTCCCCAGTTGCATTACCAAGATCAGAGGCTGGTAGTGTGTATCTAGCACATTACTAGTGACCTTAAGTCAAAACCATCCATCTGTTTGTTCAGTGAACCTACCATCCCTTCTGTGGTGGTCAGGTACCCGTGTCAAATAAACCTGCTCCAGCTACTCCTCTATTCTCTGATGAGCCAAGCAGAGGTTGAACTGATTTCTCTCCCCGCTCAAGGTTTGGGTGTTACTGACTTGGGACCAGTGTGCATTATGTCTGCTTATACTCCTAGGGCCTGTTTTGGGAAACTGCCGTGTTTATCCTTCAGAATTACATGTATGTCGAAACCCACATTTTCACCATTGCTCCTGTCGTGGTTTAAACCCAGTCAGGTAATTCGTTCGCTCACTTCCCCCCCTTTCTTGCCCTCCCCCTGCTCTCGGAGGGACGGAGAGGAGAATCAAAAGAATGCAACTCCCACGGGTTGAGATAAGAACAGTTTAGTAACTAAGGTATAACACAAATCACTACTGCTACCACCAATGATAATAATGATAAAGGAAATAACAAGGGAACAGAATACAACACCTCACCACCCGCTGACCGATAACTCGCCCCCCCAAGCCCGACCAAGCTCCGACCGATACCTCCTCCAACCCTGCAGTCTCCCAGCCCTTCCGGCTAACTCCCAGTTACATCCTGGGCATGACGTGCTGTGGTATGGAATAGCTCTTTGGTCAGTTTGGGTCAGGTGTCCTGTCTCTGCTTCCTCCCGGCTTCCCCTCCTCCCTGGCAGAGCATGAGGCTCACAAAGTCCTTGGCCAAACCAAAACATCTCTATCAGCTCTGTTCCCGAGCCGAAAGTCAAAACACTGCACTGCACCAGCTACCAAGGAGGAGAAACATGACTGCTACTGCTGAACCCAGGACACTCCATAGACCAGAGCTGGCATACATCTGTTCCTTCTGGCAACAGGGTGAGGGAAGTGGGGACTGGAGGAACATACAAGCCATTAAGCTTGAAGACTGCAGAGAGAGCATAGCCCAGCAGGAATCCAATAAAAGGCGTCAAGGCAGAAGATCCCAGGAGGATGGTGAGAAGACAACCATTACACCGCTTCCCATACTGGCCACAGAAAGAACAATTATTGCAGCAGATGACACTAGCAGCAGAACCATCCCTGCCTGAAATAAAAGCAGTCAAGTCATGGACAGCAAAGATATCCTCAGCAAAACTTCCCTCACCTACTGGAAGCAGCTGTGCCTGGTTCTCTGTCCTTCACATATGTAAGTATAGGCGAGAATGCATAAGTGTCTTTCATGAACATAAATGTTAGTAATCAACAAGAGACCGTTCTGAGGTATTACCTACAGACACCTTAAATAACTAAGTACATTTCTGGTCCATATGCAAAATGACTCGTGCTTTCTCCCCCAGCCACTTGTTTCTCAGGCACTGCTATGTGTCTCTTTTGAGTCTCGTCCACCCAAAGTAGGCAGGGAGGAAACTGCTTCACTTGCAGGTAGAGTCTGCCTACAGCACATGTGGAAGGTGGCAGCTATATTTTCATGTTGTCTCATTGGTGTCCTGTGACTTGGCAGATGAAGGAGCTGGGGAATTTTGGGAGGCAGAATACGCAGCTCTCCTGCACGTCTGTCCACTTTGGAGTCCCATTTAGATGGAGTTTTCCAGGTGTTTCTTAAAAGCAAGTCTCTACCCCTTTCCTCTTTTGTAGAGAAGATAAATGGAAAGCTGGTGTTAGCAGAAAGGAGCGTGACCCAAGGGTCAGTGGGGGCAGTGTAGGTCACCTTGTTATGATAGGCTTTTACAGCTTCTTTTGAAACAGTCCAGTCATCACTGTCCTGTGCTGGGTAAAGGGACCTTTGAAAAGCTCCGGTCCTTCTGCATCTGCTCTAGCCTGACTCCTGGGTTCCCATGCTTGTTAAAGATTAGTGATTCCTAACATAAGTTTGTCAGGTCTGTTACTAAGTCTTGGCATCCATTTCTTGCCATACTTGGTCCTAGTTTCTCTGAAATGAAGCCTTAGTGAAAAAAACCTACAAAAACCAGGTTCACAAAGTTGTTTGTTAGCAGCAGTCTGGGTACTGTTAGTGGACTCTCAAGCTAGACTGTGATGTAGTTGGTTGTCTGGATTTCCTATTTGCTGTTTAGATGCCTGATGTACAAAGGAGGCAGGGAGATGATTCCAGGCATAAGTAGATGCATAGCGATTTAGTGGCTTCTGCTGGACAGGTATCTCTTTGATGTAAGCACCAACTTTGGGATGTGACTACTGCCCTGTGCTAGACCTCTGAGAACAGCAGGGTGGGGGTTTTGGTTGGTTGGTTGGTTTGTGTTTGTTTTTTTGTTTAATCTGGGGTCTGCTTTGGTTCTGACTGGAGTGGGAGGCAGTGTCTATGAGGTTCATTAGTGCTGCTTGTAGCAAAAGAAAACGAAGGTTAAACTGAAGCCAACAAAGGAGAGCAAGGTAGGAAGTTTTTTGCAAATGTTTTTTGCTTGCAAAATGTTTTTTTGACTGGAGAAGGTGGAGGACTTCCTTTTGGCCAAACACTTTAGTGATTGAAGAGGTGAAGTGGATGTCTTGATTCTGTCCAACCCTTTCACCGATTTGTGGTGTGCCTTAGAGAAGTTAGTATTTCTGTGCCTCTATTTTTTAAAACTTCCTGAGGCCCTTAGTTGAAAGGCAGCTAGCACAGGATACTTCTTACCTTGATGATAAAGCCAGTGTACTGTGGTTTCTTCTCATTCAAGATGATGCTGATGGCACAGGGGATTAGCATCAGCACCAGGGATGTGATTATCCCTTTGTAAGGTATCTTGCCCTCCAAATCACCCTCATATCACCCTTCTGAGTAAAGGTGCAGAAGCAGAGGCATTAATTCAATTGCCAGGAGCATTGAACATGTGGCCATTACAATGCTGGGATGAAGAAAGGACCCCTCAGTAGAAGAATGACACTTTCAAAGTTGAATATGCCAATTTTCCTGCTAACCTGGAGACATGGTTTTAATATAAGGTTTTACCTTGTTCTTTCCCAACCTGCCACTGAGATTTCACCAGCATTACTGTCAGGTTGTAGAAGGATGTGATATGAATAAAGGAGAAGACAGCTTCAGTTCTACACAAACTCAGAAAGGACCCTTGCTGTGGGTACAGCTCACGGTTCAGAAATTCATCAGTGACCGAGAAAGTGATGCTTCATATTTTCACCCTGGATCTTGTTTTATCACTAGAGTTTGTTGGAGAGTGGTGTTCTGCTAGTTCAACGTTTCTCCCTGATGCAGCCTCTTCAGGCAGCATGTTCAGTTTACACAGAACTATATGCTGCTATATGGATCAATATAACATGTATATGCTGTTTGTACTGCTATGTGGAGATTAAAAAGTGCTCCTGCACTCATCTCATCAGGAGCAGCAAGCCATATTCTTCAGAGAAGGGTAGAAAATCCCATTTTGTTGTAAAACAGGGACAAGTTTACCTAGTCAGCAATATGGGTTCTTTAGTCTAAACTTCATTATTCAGCCTTTGCCCAGCTTCTTGGGGGTGGCTAATGTTGATTAAGTTAGTTTCTGATCCAGTTATATAACTAGATTGGCCTGGGCAATGAGCACATACTCAGCTTTCCTCACCTGAGGTTCATGTCCCCTCTCAGTGCCAAACTAAAGATGTTGGAGAGGTTTCCCCCTGGGCAGCAGCCACAGATGAGGATGGCCAGGGATTCTGTAGCCCCCAGCTGGAAGAGCTTGCCCAGCACAAATGCTGTTAAGGGCATGATGCCATGCTGGGCCATTACCCCAATTGCCACTCCTTTGGGTTTCCTGAGGTGATCTGTGATCCTGGCTATCTCCATTGTACACCCCAGAGATACCATGATGATGAAGAGGGCCACAATAATGATTGCATTCGGGGCTTTGTCCATGCTGCTGGCCAAATGCAAATGGTGGTGCCACACTGATCAAGGGGGTGCTCTGTGTGTGACCTGGGCTCCAAAACTCTGGGCTTTCAAAAGCTCCCTTGGTCTTGTTCATCCTGCTAAAGGGTTTAGAGGTCCCTTCTGTAAGTGCCTGGGAAGGTGAGAGAGGGGTTGATTCACAAGTCCAAATAACATCCAGTTAATGCAAGCAAAACATGAGTTTTCTTCCAGGCCACCGCTCTTATCATTCAGCAGCTGTTGAAACATAAATCCATGTTTTGAGCAATCAGCTGTGAACCGCATTTGCTTCAGTAATATGTTGTGCAGTTTGTGTTGTGCTCTGGTCCCCCACCTCTTCCAGCATCTGCTCTCACCATGAGAACGAGGACATAGCTAGTGAGAGCAACAGGGACACTCATTTAAAAGTGGTAAAGGCAGGCACTTCATAGAGTGAACCAAAAGCACTCTCATCCATAAGATACTGCTGAGGCTAATGCTTAAAAATATGATGCATCCATGGTACTTTATTTTCAACAAGGGTTATAAAATGCTTATGCTTCTGGTCATAAATAAATCTCTCAATAGGAGGGCTTGGAAGAAACTTCCTCCGTGGATGACTGATTTCTCTAGTAAACTCTTAAGGGCCTTCAGGTCTCTTTTCCTGATGCGGTAAGTCTGTCACTGCATAAAATGCGTTCAGGAATGCATTCTCCAAGCCTTACCAACATCTAAAATATTTCTCCCTCGTTAGTGCTGAGGGCAGGTTCTGCCAAAACCAGCCTCTGCAGTGCAAATCTGTGCTTTCAGGACCTGAAGTGCTCTGCACCATGATCCAGTCAGGAGCGCAGTCATCATCAAGCTCTCCTGGCAAAGCCAAGTAGGCAGCTTTTACTCATCCCAGACTGGTACCTGCTTTGTGCTTTCAGTACAAGGCTGCACAGCACAACATGCATTCAGTACTCTCGTGTGCAGGGAAGCAAAGCTGGGCAGCTGGTGCTGGGGCAGGAAGAGGGATCAATTTGGTGACTGATGAGGATTGTTCCTCCATGTCATGGTTTAAGCCAAGCTGGTAACTGAGAACCACACAGATGCTCACTCACTCCCCCCTCTTCTTCCTCCCCTCTGCTCCCAGAGGGATGGGGGGGAAGAGTTGAAAGGATGTAACTTCCATGGGTTGAGATAAGAACAGTCCAGTAACTAAGGTATAACACAAACCACTGCTGCTGCCACCAATAATAATGATGATAAAGGAAATAACAAGGGAAGAGAATACAACTGCTCACCACCCGCCAACCGATACCCAGCCCAACTGAGCAGTGATCTAACCCTTCTGGGTAACTGCCCCCAGTTTATATACTGGGAATGACGTGCTGTGGTATGGAATACCTCTTTGGCTAGTTTGGGTCAGGTGTCCTGTCTCTGCTTCCTCCTGGCTTCCCCTCCTCCCTGGCAGAGCATGAGCCTCACAAAGTCCTTGGTCAGAGTAAACATTACTGAGCAGCAACTAAAAACATTGATGTTATCAGTGCTGCTCCCAGGCTGAAAGTCAAAACCACAGCACTGAAGCAGCTACTAAGAAGGAGAAAAATGACTGCTACTGCTGAACCCAGGACACTCGAGTTCCTCCAGGTGAGCTCTGTGCATCCCCCATTGCTCCTGTCCCTGGCTGTAGAGGGGATGTGCTTCTCTGCATTGGCCATGCTGGGGAAAGGCACATTGCCTGCCTTGACCCCAGGTGCCACAGTCCTTGATCCCTCTGCAGGTTTTGCCTTCATTTAAGGCATTTATTGCCTTCAAATCAACCTAAGCCAACCCCTAGGCCTGGTGCAGGACTCTAAAAGAGCTAAACATGTTAAACTAGAGCAAAGTGAGTGCTGTTACCTTACATTCTTGTGGATGTGGCTGTAGGAGGCTGCAGTGAGATTACCTGCTGCTCCAACCCTTCCTGGCTGAGCTTGGTGACTAACAGCTCTCTTTGGTCCTTCTGCTTCAAGAAAGTCTTTCCCCCTTGGTAAATCTTGTCCTCTGCTTGCAGAATATAAAGCTTGGTTCTAAAAGCCTATGTAGATGGCAAAGTTGTTATATGACAGTTGTGTTACAGGACTGGGGAGGGGATTTCAACAACAGAGGTTTGCTGCAATCTGGCTGAGCGCAATCTGTTTGCTGAAGGGCATTATAATGCTGCAGTAATGTGTGCATCGCTGCTATTCACTGGGGAGCTCGGCAGGCTCAGCCTCCCCAGCCCCATCGCTCTCAAAACACTGCTGGTGGCAGGCAGGAATGTTGGAGCTGTTCTCCCTGTTTCTATCCGCTTGCTCTCGCTTTGGTCAGAAACTCTCTTTCCTAGGCTGGCACCTGGGCCAGAAAAGCATCAACAACAACCCTGGAGCCCAGTGCAGGCATTGCCCATTGGGCAGAGAGGAGCAGTGCCCACAGCAAAGCAGCTCCCAGTGGCTCCACAAGTCCATGTCCATGGCTTCTCCTACACCTTTGTGAGCATTACACTGCAACACCTGGGGACATGGGCCCTTCCCATAAATCACAGGTGGTGTCTGGAGACCTCCGTGTCCCTGTGGTACTGCCCGGCCTCACTGCTGGGGCCCTGGCTAAGCAAGCGGGAGGAGGTGGCTGCAGTACTGCACGTGTTTTGTTTTCCCTTCGGCACCTACAAGTTTTCCAGCCACAAGTAAGGGCTGCTCAAGCAGGACATGGGCACATCCATAGGAACTAGGAGAAAACACAGGAGCAAAGTTCTCAGCAACTCCTTCTTTCTGTCCCTTCCTTCATTTTTTTCCTGCAGATCCCCAGCCTTCCTAAGGGAATGCTCGTCGTCACCATGTTTGGCTATATGCTGAGTGTTGTCAGAAGATGTAAGAAGGGTCAAGTCAGACAATTAAGCTGTTACAAAGCATCACTGTCTGAGCAGCGCCTAGAACCCTCTCCCCCATAAGCTCAGTGCAGCTCAGGCTTTTAAAATGACTATACTGAAGCGCTCTCACCCTTTGTCTTTGCAGGGCTGTACAAGAATGTTTCAACTACCCCAATAACTGAAAAAATGCCTGTTAGTTGTTTGCTCAAGCGTTCCTGCTGGTTCCCTGTACTTAACACAGGAAACGCCATGGGAGCCAAAGGAGAGACTGCAGAATAAAGGAGAGAAGCAGAATAAATTAGGATCATTTTTTCACCCTTATTCATGCTGGGACACCCAGTTCTTTTACATGGGCACTGGTGCTGGGGATTTACATTCAGACGTGGCCAAAGAGCTGCATCTCGGCTCTAAAGTAGCTGCTCCCTGTGGTGGGACCTGGTGGTGGGACCCCTGAGGAGCAGTGCTGGAGGAAGGAGCAGGCTGCTGGTAGCCCATGATGGGCTGCTGCTGACCTGACGCCACATCAGCCACCGCGGTTTGGAGGAGGCTTTGTCCTCGGAGAAGACGCCTGTTTGCCAAGCGAGCCCCTAGTTTTATCCGTGGCAAAGTGCGCCTTTTCCTTCCTTTGACCGCTTCCTGGGCTCGGTTCTTGAAAGGTAAATTTCTGCATGACCTTTAAATGGTCTCCCTTTTTCCTCTCACAGCTCAACTGCGTGCGAGCAGGCCTTTGCCTCTGCCTGTGCCCTTGCTCTGCCAAGGAGTTTCCTGACAGGCCCTGAGCGGCTCATGCCACTTGAGGGCAGTGGTTGCATGCCCAGAGCCCCGCTGATCTCTGAGGATGAAGGAGCTCCTGAAACAACGAAGTCCCGCCGTAGGTGCTGCCGCTTAGATGGTTTTTATTAAGTCAGATACTCCCAGACTCAGAGATGCGGTCTAATACAACAGACATCACAGGACGCATAACAAGCCTGAGGCATTAAAGGAGATACCAAAGCAAAAAACGTGTGCAAGTTTGCAGACTTCCTGTTGGAGCTCAGAATGAGCTGTGTTGAGGACTTCTTATTTTTTAAAGACACCCAAGCAGTCAGTGCTTTGTCCTTTCAAAACACAGCTTCATGCATTCATGAATTAAATGTTTCAGGCGCGCGTTTCAGTGATGGGGAGCTGAGGCCTGCCACCTCTTCTGTGCTAGTGCAGAATTTAACGTGACTTGAGCTCAGCCCAGCGGTTGCCCAAAGGCTGTACTTCAGCAAATGTGCCCGACAGGAGCAGTGGTCACCTGCTTTGTGCCAGACTTCACACTCTGTTGGCCCACAACCCAAGACATGACCTAGGCATCTGGTGTCTCTCGTGCTCGGGTAAGGATTTGTCACTGTGCGGTTTTATCATCGCTAATCGATTTGCTCATTTCTGTGTGATTTTGAGGTAATTTGCTCACCACAGCCCTGCCCACGTGGTGGGCACCGTGCTGGAGTGGCTGTCAGGGTTGAGGAGTGAGGGTTCCTGCAGAGACAGTCACAACTTCCAGCTGTGTCTTCCCCTTGCTGTGGTTTTGGTCCTATCCACGTTTTTTCACTTCTGTCATCACCTCAGGATGCAGGCCACTTCAGTAGGATGCCCTCCAATTAAAACCTAGGTCTGGTTTGCCCTGTCATAGGGGAAGTTATGTGTTAGGGGTGGCATCTTATTCTGTTAATTCTGCTTGTGTGCGAACCCCCTGGATAGGGTCAGAAATGAGAACAAACCAAATGAGCTTGTCTTGAGATGCAAACCACTCACCATCTGGTGTGGAGCAGTCTGGACACAAGCTGTCATGTACCACTGGACAGAGCAGCTGCAGCCTGATGCCATGGTGACAGCCACACTCCCCTCTCCTCACCCCCATGTCAGGTGCCATTGTGTTGCCATGCCAGCTCCATGCCGGGCACGTCTACCTTGTGTGTCATGGGAAAGAGCCATATCTGGAGTGGGATAGGGTGAAGGAGCTGGAGAGGCTGCCCCAGCTCTGCATGGTCCTGCTGGCTCCCTGCAGCAAGGATGAAAGGCCTGCCATGATACTGGCAGCATGTCCTGGAGGCCTCCTGCAGCCACTGGGGTGTACTGGAGATGGGCAGAGGTATGATCTGCAGTTCACAGCCCTGTTGTTTCTGCTGTGGCATCCTGGCATGGATGGAGACCCCATTACAGTGCCCTGCAGCAGCACGGATGGGACCTTGCACCCCTACCTTCCTGGTGATAGCTGTGCCCCATTCCCCACTGCTGTGCTTCCTGCCCAACGGCACTACTCTCTTAGTGGTCCTGAGCACAGACAGGAGTCAAAGTTGTTTTTATTTATTCAAATCCCATTATCACCCATCAGGTTTACAAAATCCCATGGCTCCCCTCTTCTACAACTCTGTTTGATAGGAAAATAATTAATTTTGCAATTAAGCTGTGCTCAGAACAAATGATGTACGAGCACTCTGTATGGGCTAAATTAGGGCCTGCTGAGACACAGAGCCAACATCTGTCTGGTTAGTGACACTTATTTCAAACAGCCAG